TCAGTTGCCAGAATAAAGAGATGAATTTGCAGAATAAGTGTGGAATGTGCTATATTTAGCAGTTTAGTGAATAACAAAACTTTCGAAATCTACTGGTACCAACAAATGAATAAAAATAAATAAAAAAGTATTTGAATTTATTTTTAGCTAAAGATTTTTTTTGTAAATATTTTTTTCCAGACATTAGTGTCATTGTTGTTGTTTTTTTATGTGCAAATTGCAAGTGCTAACATATAGTGCATTTCGCCCCACGGAACCCTTATTTAACTTTTATTTAGATCAGTTAAATAGCAGTGGTTATTGGTGGGGCAATGTCAGTGACTTTTGCATAATTTTGTCTTTATGAATGCCATAAAATCCTGAAAATTTCTCGCAGTGAAAAATATACTGATATAACTAGATATAACTAGATATATACCTAGATATAACTAGATACACCCTGGTATAAAAAAATATACTGATATAACTAGATACACCCTGGTATAAAAAAATATACTCTGGTGTATCATGCAAGAAAACAATCACGGCAGATGTATCATGCATAAGTCTAATCAATATTGCTTAAAAATACTTCTGTAAACCCTACATTCATTTCACATTTTTATAATTATGAACACTGACATTGCGTGAATATTTTTCATTTTTAGATTTACACTGTTCAAGGTACAAGGAGTGATCTAGATATTAGAAACTCTGGTGATTGTATAAAAAGTTGGATTGAAAGGCAACATTATTTTACAAAAACAATCTACCTCCAAATAAATGAAGGATAGTTTGCTCGTTACAGTTCTACCTCTCAGATTCTAATTGTCAACCACTCGTTTGTTTATCTCCATAAAAATCTGATTTCCTACATAAGTATAAATCTGGTTCCTGTGAAAATAAAATATGAAAAATACTCAAATATTTGTACAGCATTATCTACAATAATGTCTGAATCGTTTTATTTTCCGTTAATCAGTTTTTCATGTATCGTATCTCCATTGCTTTCTGGTAGATTATTATGTTGCATCTTGTTATTATTCAAATTTGCAAGAACCTGACCCAACAACTCTGGTAAATACAAATGTACTGTCAAACCTGTAATAGTGACTACCTCTATATAAAATAAAAACAGCACCAATCTTTCAGCAATATTTTTTGCAGATTCACCTTTGTTTAGAGAAAAAAATAAAAATAGCATTCTGTTTACAAAACAATTTTCCTGAAGTCAAACTTCTATGATTTTGATCAACACAAATCAACCTATTTTTGTCTGATAGTCCCAATTTTCATAAATACGTATTTAATTTGTATTTGTTCTTTTTATATTAATCATGTTCATTTTTTTAATGTGTTAGTAATTGCGAAAATGGTGATAGTTAATAAAATATACACAATAAAGAAAAAAGTAACTGGACCATAAGGGCATAATATTTTTCAGTTTAACTTACTGCTTGTACACCCAAAATATGGCAAATAATTAGAAATGTTCCATGATGCTGGTTGCCATGTCAATCAAGCCTATATTGTGACGTCCTCTATTGTTTTAATTCTGGACACTGTCACACGCTGAAATTGTCTTCTAAACCTGATTTAAATTCAATCAAAACTTTTTAGTAGACATGAAAGACGATTGTTTTTCAACTGTAAAACGGAAAATATTAAAACAAAATAAAAATGTATGAATGAGTAGAAATCAGATACACTTACCTAACACTATGGTTCCTTCAGTAAGACAGCTTGCAGCCAAACAGTAACAAATCTTCTCAGTAAAATTAATGGAAAGTCCAACAATATATTCATATTTTTTTCAAAAAAAATAACGCGTTGCTTGAAAACAGGAGAGGTCAAAAGTTGATTTTAACATAGGCTCTAATGGATAAGATGTGAGTTTCCCTCAAACGCCCTCTAGAGTTAAATTTTCTATCCCACAATTATTTGCAGAATCCAATATTTCTTTCCTATAGATTTGGAATTTTAAAGGAATGTACTGCAATCAAGACTTTGTTTTACAAAAAGAAATAATTTAAGTTGTTTTAGCTTGATCGCGAAAACTAACGTGACCGCGTAAAACAAAAAAGAAGTCTTAGTCCCGACTTTGCCAGTCTAGCATTTTGTGTGTGATACAAGTACATTGTATTATTATACAAGTATTACCATGCACAGCGCCCCCTGGCCACAGTGACTGATATTGACATAGAGGAAATGTTAATTTTCTGTTTACACTCGAGAAGTCAATATTAATTATACTTACAATTTTATCATTAGAGACCCTGGGTAGATTTTTATTATTGTTATTATTAAATGTATGTGGATTTTTACATAAATATGTTTTGTGTTTTTGTAATTTTTCATATAGGATTTCCATTTTTCAAAATATTATCTTTGTAGATTCGTTTTTTTTTTTTAAATCTACTGGTGAACCCCTCCGACAATATCCACCATGCATCATCATACAAATTGTAAAAACATATTTGTTTTGATTTTTATTCACATTGACACTTTACAATATAACACGGTTGTGATTTCAATTTTGGACTAAAACATCTTTTTATTCTGAGCAATAGATCAGCGTAAATTCAAGCATAGAATCCTGTCGTAAACGTGAGCAAAACATTTTCTAAACCGGTAAATATTTCGTCTATCCGCCTCAAGTCTATTTCAAAATGTGGATACATTTTGCTAACCGTCTAACGACCAGGATTTCCGAAAAACTGGCTTACAATTATGTTCACCGTGCACGCCACCCCAATCATGACATTGCTCTTTTCAACATTAGTCACAAAAAGCACAGTGGAATTGTGATAATCTCTTATAACATATGGCACTCCCATGTTTTGTTCACCGACAATGGTAACGTAATTCTCACTGAATCGTTGACCTTGAAAAAGCTACTTGAATTCATTTTCAAACGATATGGCAGTGCAGTTAAAAAAATAGTTGTCCGAGAGCTCATCAAGGTACTCATACCACAGTTACTTTTTCGAAGTGGTCAGTCTCAACTCAGCCCCTCCACAGGCTGTGGTCCGAGGACAAACAGTTACATTACACTTTGACCAGTATATCACCATAGAGCTAAAAATGAAGAAAGACTGATTCAGCTCGGTTGCTATGCACACGCATATAATTTACATTTATGTTTCCAATATTGTGAAGGAAATTTATATATTTTAACTTAAATTTAAGCGTGATTTTCATTGTTTTACATGTGTCATCGTAGTGTCAATGAGTTCAGCTTACAATTTGTATCACCTGAAATAATCACGTAGTGTTTTTGATGGGAGAACAATCAGGTTGCCATACCCCTCCCACATGCCAATTATAACCACAATTGATGGCCTTTGTTTTACTATTAGATTGTCGATTTTAAGAGTGTGCGCTAATTTATGATGGGCCCACCCATCGTTGAAAAATTACTTCGGTGGACGATGTATCTCGTAAATTCATACGGATCGTCGCCGGATGCGGGAAATGCAGCTCCCTGTACCATTGAACATTTAAATTTACGTTCCACATACATCATTACGGACGTTTGGATGTTAAGAAAAAAAAAAGCTTGTAGAATTGCGTGACTAAATCATCGTGTTTCCAATTTATATTTTTGCACGCTGACCGTTTCCTATTATTCCAATTATTTTTATCGCTGTTTAGTCCGGCCTACAATTTTTGCTTGCCATTTGTTCTTCTTTTCTCTATGATGAGACAATAAACTGATGACGTAAGCGACACATTGTTGACCTCTGAGGTCATTCCATTTTCAAAAGTCACAGGTAAAGTTGGTTTTGCGCCGAGGGACAGATTGCGTGGCGTGGGGGTATAAGGTTACTCATTTTGAAAATGTATGTTTTTTCTCTGGGTCATTTGATGTGTTGGAGGCGTGAGAAGAAAGCAAAGACGTTACTTGTTAACGACAATGGTGATTGATTGTCCCTGGTTTGATGTTGCTTCCACACTTCATCAATCGAGTGGTCCAGAATCCCACCCACTTATGAATAATTCATGATATTATGGTACATTATTCAAAGTAATCACGTGATGGGTGTCAATCACTTGGGGGCCGTTGTTGTAAATTGACGGCCGCCAAAAAGCGGCAGCGTCCGTTGACGAAGAGTGACAGATAAGGTAGGTTGTCAGTCAAAGTCGCCCAAACCCCACAACTTCGAATTATTTAGGGAGTTCAACCTGCCATTCCAAGCTTGTCTAGCCTTTGGATTTGTAGTTTCAGCCGATGTTCGCACAAAAATTATAGCGAAGAAAAACTTGACAATTTAGTGCAGAGTTGAGAAAAACTGAATTTGTCTATCACGCTGTGAGGCGATATTGATCGCTGGCAAGCAGTCGGACATAACTCAAAACAGAATAGATCTTTCACCGAGTTCAGCCCTCGTTGTGTGCATTGATGACATTTAGAGGGTGTCAGACGATGTCAGATTTATAGTTCTGCTTTCCATATGGCTCGATCGTCTATCTTTTGACGGGGAGTCGTTAAAAAGGGCATTTCTTGTGTATGATCGCCGGGTGAATTGACGCTCAACAACTCTACCGTTCTTTTGTTGCCTTTGGCTTTGTTGTGTCACTATTCGGAGAGTCTGCCCAGTTTTCACCCTTTCGTCTTGTCAGTTACGCGGAAATACTGCCCATTAATGATCGATTAATCACTCTCTCGACATTTGGGTATCTCATGGGGTCGCCCAATCCAGCGATCGTGATGTTTTCTCCCCGTTTGAACGCATGGTGACTTGTAATTTTCCCGTTTTTTCTTGTTACTTTGTGTGTTTTCTGTATCCAAAATGGCGATCGTCACAAACGCTTTACTGTGTCGTTTTGCGTCTGGGTGACCGTACTCTACATAATATTACATATATTTACTCATAGTTCACTGAATTTTTAGTCGATCATAGACAGTTTTTGTTTTAATTTCCGAGTTTCACGTTTGGCGCATGTATACGGAACCAGTATATATTTCTACTAATTGGCTATACTGTCTGTCTAAGGGCTTCGTCGAACGCGTAGGCATTGAGACCATTGTTTGTTTAGCAGTAATGCTGACTTGTGTTGTGCACATAAGCTAACACAAAGTTCGATCCAGGCTTCGTTGATGATTGAACTGAGACAATAATTTTAAGAAATAATATATTTCATTATGAGTAAATAAACTACCAATGTCATTCACTTTTCAACAAAGCGTTTCCAGGGTTGAGGGGAAATAATACTGGAAACGTCTCTACAATCAAAATATTTTGTGTGAGGCATGATACTGTTACAATATGAATTTGAGTGCCAAATAATTTTTAATGGATATTATTCTTGAGTTTATATGTGAACTATATTATTATAATTAATAATTCACAATAGATTTCCTAAGTGAATGAATAATTTCTGGTAATTTAACTCAGATTTATCCGTGAAGCATAAATTAATTTTAAAGAATTTTGTAAAATATTTTGTTCGTAATCAAATAAATTTCCTCCTAGTTTTAAAGCAATATAGTGGTGTGCAAAGTCTGTGACCTCTAAAAGTGTACAGTGTCCTTACAATCTCAAAGTCAATGTTTCCAGTGATCATAAATCAGGGTAAATGGGGGCTGTCCCATTCACTGGGGCCCATCCCTCATTGTAGGACTCTAACAGACAGCAATTAAATGGGATAATTAATGTGAAAGATGCCACTTGTTGTAAGACCCACCCCTTTAGGACCACCCACCAAGTGACTAGATACTGGACATATTAATTAGTATGTAACATTATGAAATTAATGACTTGTGAGACAAGGGTGGCCGAAAAGGACACAGTTTAACTAACTTCAGTATCAGCTTGTACTGATTACAACCAGCAGTACCACAAGAAAATAATCCATGAGTGAATTAATTTCATAGCATTCTCTTAATAAAGAAACAATATAGGGGGAAAAAATTGATCTGTGATTCAGAAATTCTTATGGAGCATGTTACTATAACAACTTGTACATTATCTGGAAGCTTAGATCACAGTCCCTCTATC